TTATCTGCACGACGGTTGTGTTGGTCGGCGTGAGGGCGTGCGGCGACTTCAACACCGTCCGCGTCTCCCCACCTGGAGCTCTTCACCTTCTGTGCTTGTTCCTTCGCGTGGCCGTCGCTTCTGCCAGCAACGCGCCATGGTGTTGTTTGTGCACGAACTCGATTCGGCGCTCTCGGCGCATGGACCGTGACTCTTCTCTGCCCGGTTCGGATGGACACGCTAGTTGTGCATCCGACTCTAGTGCATACTTCTTCGGCTGCGGTCATGGCGCATAACAAGGCGCGGATGTATGGGCGGTGGGACCATTCATTCTAAACAAGCGTTATTAAAACAACCGAACCGTTGGCACCACTGCGCAAGCAGACACTGCTCGTGCGTCTTCGGTTAGCAATTGAAGCCTCAAAGTGGAATTAAATAAATAACACCCTGCGCATTCGATGTACCGCACGGATGCTGCTGTACGTTCGCGCAGTGTCTAAGTTGCACGTGCAAGTTACACTAGACTTATGGGTTTTCAGTGGTTTGGAACTGACACGAGATCACGCGAACCGCCCGTCTTGTACCTCCTCGAACAATTAATTAAAATCAAACTGAATGTTCTTGCGCCGGTGCTAATGATTAATTAACTTTATGGCGCATAAAATTCAACCATTTTATTATTTATAGAGAGGGCTATTAGCGAGCTCGTTGTTGGCTTGTTGGATGGCACGATATTAGGAAGTTTGTGTGTGCGCACCGTGGACAACAGACTTCCGAATTAATTAGCGTCGCAGACATCATGTGTCGCTCCTTTCTTCCTTGTTACGTTGGGTTGTGTTACAATATTAACCGGCGAATGTGTCTGGATCTTGATAAGGTATTGACCGCGTCGCGCTTCTTGTCCGCTGCCCATCGATAAAAGGTGTGCGTAGCAATTGGCCAGAAGCCTTAATTCACTTACTTTATTCTTCGGCGATGCGAATATGCATACGGAACCCCGAAATACCGCCCGCCATCGCGCTTATCTGGTAGGCATCGTTTTGCTGTCGAAATTCCTCATAATTAACCATAAATTTAAAATTCCACGAACCGCCGCAAATTATAACAACCGATGGGCTAAACAACCAGCAACAACAGCTGGTCGGCAAGGACGACACTCACGTTTTGAATGCTCACGAGGCGGGTTGCAGTTTGTGCAAGGAGTTCGAAGATGCTCACGATGGTGGAACCGTTGCTTTTATGTAAACCCATCGTGGGATATAAATATTGTTTGTTATTTTAGTAAGCGGGACCATCGACTCATTAAATTCTGACGAAAACACGAGTGCTGATGGTGTTGGATGATTCCGGCGAGCTTTTCTCGCCAGTGCTAATCAAAAGCGCACGAAATGTAAGAGCAACTTTTTGGGTATTGGAATGCCGAAGCCGAAGAATCTCCTTGCTGGAAGCGCAGCGGATCCAGAGACTCTCGCGTGGTCACATATTTATTGTCGCGACGTCAATTCGGAATTCTAGAGCGCTAACTCACGACGCTGGGCGCGATTTCGAACATGCGATCGTTTTTGGCCGAAATCCTCCTTGCGCCGCCGCCGCTCGCTTTTTACGTCATCCGCATTTTTTCGTCTCCAATTATTTTCCGACACAAACGCTGCCCGATCGTGTACAATTAAAAATATTTCATCGCGCAATCGCGATGTCGACAATCTTTCTACTTAGAAGCCGGCCGCGACCAATGTCCCACCGGCTCGTATTTCTCACAAGGATTTACGACCGCGGTTCTCATTCCCATTACGATGCCTTCGCCGGGGAAGAAAAAAACATTTCCACGGATGTTCAACCAGCCTGTGTCTATGCCTGCATGTCAGCCAGAAGCTGATGTGCCTGGTGGTTTCTGCTAGGAACAACTCCCTGAAAAACTCCTTGCTGTTTATTACATGTTTAACTAGCTGTGAATGAACTTTTTGCGTTTCTTAATAACCAGCTTGTGGGTCTTGTGTGGGATGTGCGTAGATTATGCGATAGTGTATTACACCCACAATTCCGACCGTGACAGTGGAGCCCATTTTGAGGAAAACGGAAACGGCGATAATTTAATCAGCATATTATTACTGCACGCACATTACATTTTCGATCCCGTGAGATAGTGTGTGTTGTAGCGCAAATATTAACACAGGAGTTAACGGAGGCTTCACTTCATGATGGCCATCGTTAACAGTGAGGTTTTTGTTTCGCGCTTTGATTTAATGCTTAATCACGCATCGGCGGCTTCGAGTTTGACATCGCCCATCAGATGTCACGACTCTTGGCTTCACGCGCGCACGCATTTAACGCTTTTAACGGAAGCCCCATCGCTTTTGGGGCTTTAGTTATCGCTTTTGTGAGTGTGTTTGACAGTTTAATCACGCCTCGAAATCCGACAGACAAGATGGTCTTATACTAGATCCCGCTTCAATCTCGCATGTGGCTGATTAACACAAATGTAATTTCACCTAATTATTAATAACACGCTGAAACCTTGTCAATCCGTTTCTAAAGCCTTGCAACGCACAGTGTGCAGCGTGTGCAGATGGAACACTTAGCGCTAATAGAAATTCGTCGAATTAATTTATTCAAATCGAAATTCGGCCGTTTGCCCGCTCGCCCAGTTGCTCATTTCGATGATTGACAACGGAACGAATTTGTTACGCAGTATATTTATTCTTCGGCGCGTGTGCAACCATAGATACACTTTAATTTTATACATTCTAACAAATATGCACTTTATAATACTTTCTGTAATTGATACCATCAAGATTTTAACAATTTACAGTTGGTTATTGAATATTTCGGAAATGTGTGCATTGACGCAGTTGACGCCTAAATTCTTACAACCTTTCTAGAGTTTTAATTACCCGTAAAATACAGAAATAAAGATTGGGTGTTCAATTAGTCATTATTTTATTGCTTTAGGTTGATGATCGGTCAACGTATTTGTATTAAAACTCAAAATAACTGTATATTGAAAAAAATTGTAACCTGCACGTCCGCTCTGACATAATCTCTCAAAAGGAAGGAAGGTCTGACACTAAAGCGACCCTCTTAATTAAAATGTCCAATCCTCAAATACCTTATCTGACAGGTACTGGTAGTTTTTTTTGTGGCTCATTAATATTTTTTTCTTTTACATAATAAATATGAATAGTAATATTTTCTTATTTTTGTTTGTTTTTTGTTTGTTAGTTTTATAGTAAAAAATAAAAAGTTACGAGTCTCATGCATCATTTTTGAAGGCGTTCGGGACATAAAAAAAAGAGCGACTTAAAAACGGTAATTCCCGTTCGATTGTATAAATATATTTGTGTTTAGCGAACGTTCGCCATCGACTAGTGTCCGTTTAATTGATTGCGCTGGCATTACAATGCACATAAACTGGTTATCCACCTCGATGACCACCCGTTTATTGAATCATATAAGTTTTATACTTTTATATACGGCGCTTTTTACGATTACGATATTGAGAGTGCTGCGTGTGCGCTGAGCGCTGAATAAAGTGCCGGACAATTTCGGTTTCGTCAAGTTCGAATTTTGTGTTCTTGCTCGCGACTCCGACTGGTTTGCATCGCTGAGATCGCAGCCTGGCAAACTTTACCGACACGTTTAAAAGTTCATTAAACGCGATAAATGCGAAATTTATTATGCGCCACGACGTTTGTGGCGAATTTTATTTATTTCGCCAATAAAAATGCGATATCTGCTTTTAATTATTATAATTTTTATACGGTCGCAGACGCGCTCGTTTGCCGCGCCCGTAATTTACTTCATTAAGTTATTGAATTTCTTATCTAGTCGCTCGCTAAATTTTTAATGCGTGCAGCAGACGATGTTGAATGTATGCTGGATGCTGGCCGCACTGGATGGTTTACAACCTTTGATAAGGTCGTGATAACGAGCCAAGCTTTGGGAACGCACAACAAATTAGTTTATGGCCGATTTTTATTGGCCGAGATTAGTCGACATGCAATTACAACGGTTTACGGTCGATTTATTTCGCTCGCCGACTGCATGCAGAGCAGCGAATGTAAGCGCATTTTTATCCGCGTGGATGAAAATTTGCACGATGTCTTATCAGCAATGTGAAAACTCCTGTTGTCGGATTTATCACATCTGCAATCGGGCAGGTTTATTTTGGGGGGCGGATGCAACAAAACCGCGATTTATCCGTTTAACATTTTTTTGATAAGCAAGGTAATCAAATAATTTACGGTTTGTCGTTAATTAATAATAACTTTTATTGTTTTTGATAATTCGCGTGTTTGCGTTCGTTTTGTTGTTGATATCGGTATTCAGCCTTCGGTATATTCGATGTTCGAAATGGTTAGATATAAAATTGTTTATGGGTCCAACGACGCTACCTCCTCGTTACACGTTTCAGGCCCAGGTCGGTGGTGCCCCAAGCACGAGCTATAAATATAGTCGCCCTAATCAAGTACAACGTTCCATGCGGCGATAATAAAGTTAGCAAAGCGTGCGCGGTTCTTTCATAATCCGGTCCTCATGACCATGAACCATAGGCCAATTTGCACTCCCGTTGATAGTGTGACCCTTCACCATTACTCCGCCGGCAATTAATAACTTTAAATAAATATTTCGCTGTTTTGCGAGGGCACGCGAACGAAACTCGCGCCTCCAAGTGCCTGAGGTGGTGCTCCAGCGGGACCATCTTCCCATCTGCTCGCCTCGTAAAGAATGTATGGAAATATAGGCAGGCGTAGAGCAAGCAGGTCGAGTCGAGGTGAAAATAACGACTGTCAATGGGAACGCTTTGCCGATGCCCTCGCCCTAACACATTCGGACGTTTGCTCTCCGCGCGCTCTTCGCTCGCCAACGCGTTTTATTGCGCGTGCTATTTTATGCCCTTGCTTCGCGAACACACGACACGTACGCGTACAAGATGCACATACTGTACTTATTTGTTATTGTAATGACGAGCGATGGTATCGCTGCGGCGCGGGACGCTCTTCGCACCGTCGAGCGTTTGTCGTTCTCCAAACACATCCGCGCACATTTTATTCCATAACTCGTACGTTTTTCCTCTGTGTGCACAGCGCCGTGGAGCATATGCCGACGCGCAATTTATTTCCATATTTAGTTCAAACAAGGCGATGTTAGAGAAAAGGCCGATGTACGCCGGTATGTTGTGTAGTCATACACATGTGTGTATTTACCTACACACTCTTCGCGAGCGCGCGCACCAAAGAGGTTGAGTGCTTTGGTTGCGGTGAAATCTCGAAAATCTCTTGTACGATTGACTGACATCTTGATGAACTGCATAATCCGAGCGATCGGTCGATTTAAGCCCTGACGTACATGACAATCTCGAAAACGTTACATTACGAAATTGTATTGAGCGTCGCTCAGCCTTGGAATACGACCGACTTATGCACTCTGTTCGATTGATTGTGTCTTGTTGGCTTTGCGTGGATTTACATTCTTGGTGAAACGTTAGACGTAACACATGTCCGAGTTCTTAAAGGTAATCATCTCGGATTTAGACAACTCAAGTATCAATACATTTCATACCAGATATTACCATTAACTGGAGTTGCCTTAAACTTTAAAAACTGAGTGCTTTTAACAATTGTTTGATTTTGAAATAATTTTAGTATTTTACTACCAACAGTCTAATTTAATTTAATGGTTGTCTCTTTATTACCATTCACGTCCGCTTGTCTCGGCAGGTTTCGCATTTCATCTGAGATTTGTGCAGACGAAGAAGACTAGCGGAACTCTGCGCCTCGGCGCGCGCACAAGATGAATTGCTGACTCACCTGCGCAACAAATCATAATGTGTCAGCTTTGAATGATCTCTAATAAAATATACGAAGTCACCCACACTCACCTTGGCGGCAGCGGCGACCCTGCCGCGCTGCAAATTTGCATCCAATACCAAATTGCAAATTGCTTTTGCCCGCGTGTTTTAATGGTGTAGGCATATTATAAATTATTTACTATGGCGCGCGGGAGTGCCTGCCTGTGCCGTCCATCCGTATGCGTATACCTGCGAGTAACTTATTAATTTCAAAATTGCTTTTCCGAGCCCGGATGGTCATAGACGTTGACTTTGACTCTCGCACTTGGAACCAGACACATACCTTTTTACCTGTTTGAGCGCCGTTTACCATACCAGCAGTGCATGTAAATCTTGACTGGTGTCGAGGCGTCTGTTTTGACAAATTTTGAATTCCAAATTAATTCTGTGACGTTTCCGACATCGGGTACACAATGCGATGTGTTTCTCTGCTCTGCTTAGCGATTCTGAATAATACAAGAGGCGAATTTACATGCGGTCAGAAGAGTGCGTCTCGCGGACGCAGGATAAATGCGCGATCGTGCCGGCTATAATGTGGCTGTAAACAACGTCCCGTCGGCCGGAATGTGACGGACTCCCGGACAATTCTGTTTTATATACAGATCCAACGTTGCGACGCTCCCGATTGCAGCACAACTCAATCTCTCGCTCAGCTCGCCGTTGTCGATTCCGCCGATCTTCGCATATCTTCTATTCTTCGGCGCGTCATTGTGCGGTTTTGTAACGTTTGTCCGATTGTCGGACGTCCATCACCTTGGTGCGCTCGGTGCTTTCAATTTCGAGATAACTTTGTTTACATTACGAACATTTTTAAGTGATGTGGTATTTTGAAGCGAATTGATTTTTAACATTAAAAATTTGTGGAGGTGTTAAATTTCATGGAAAATTAACTTTTTTCTTTACATTCCTTGCGTGTAATATTTGTACGCAAATACGAAATAATGCCACCGCATAAACACTTTTCTTGAAGCCGGTTTGCCGCCTATGCCGGCCTCGCCGGCACCCATTGTTGTGGTGCTAAAGGGTGAAGAACGCGAAACGGCACGTTTGCCGCTATCGTCTGGCCAAAACATAAGAAAATAACTAAAAAAAAATAACGACTGCCATAAAAGTTTAATATTTTCTTCTTAGCGTACAGCTACACAAACGTGCCGTCATCATCGTATCATCGGGGCGCGTAAACAAAACAGGAAGCTTTTATGTCGTATCTACAGCATTGCGGCACACGCTGCCATTGGAACCCTTTTCACAACTATGTCATAATCATTTTTATTATCATGAAATACATGCCGCACACGCGCTGACGTCTTTCTTCTAGTGAATCTAGTGTATGGCATGTAATAATGGCGATACAAAAGCATCAAATGTGCGGCATTATTTAAGATGCGCGTCAGCAATAATAATTCCGATAGCAACGCAGCGGAGATGATTCCAGGAAATTTTATCGATGTATTTATGCATAATGACAGGATTTACTAGGGAACAGTAAGCGTGCATTTTATGACTCGTTCGGTTAAGATTTCTCCATTTCGACATTCTGTCACGTTTGAATTTGAGTTACTACTTTAATATGGATTAATATTTCCTCACAAGACGAGTAAAATAATATCACAGATGTATTCGAATGGAGATTTATGTTTTCTGTTGATGTTCTGTTGGTTTAAACAGAGCAGGATTTCGGCGATTTGGAACATGTGAAAAACGAGAAGATTTTGAATGCTTGACACGGGTCTGTAAATTTTGTATTTAACTGCGAGATAAAATCTTAATCTCGCCGCATGCGCGATTTCGAAATATGCTTGTATAATGCGCTTGTATTTGTTTATGCGGTTAGTTTGCGTTTCCGTATGCGTGTAGAATGGTGTTAGGACTACTCTTGGGCAGATATGTGCACTTAATAAATTACGCTCGCGAAGCTTTATCGCTTAGATTTTCCATAATTCACTCGTGTCGGAGCCCGCAGGTATGCAGAGACGACCGCGACACCATGCGACTCATCCGCGTGCAGGAAGAAGAAAAGTTCTTCATTTTCTATTAAGTTTTATGCCTTAATAGGCACACATTCATAAATTCATTCGAAATTCATCTGCATATTTTCCGTCCACAAACACGCGTTCGCGTTGTGTGCCACATCGAGTCGAAGCAAACAAGAAAAACAGAAATAAGCGCGTCGTAAATCTTAAACATTATTGCGTCTTGGACGCATCTTCGATTGCACCCAAGCCTCGGTTTTAATTTCAGTTTTTAGCGTTGCGCAGCCAAAAATGTAATGAAATGGGTAAAAATAGTATGGTCAATAGTTTCTCATTAAATCGGCATAAAATTTTACAGGTTTGCCTAATGATCTTAATGACGATATGCAAATGACCGCGTTGGGCACTTCGGCGAAGACGACGAAAACCGGCTACCAGTGTTTCTCGGGCGTTGTGGTGGCGTGGAATTTACACGAGTCGTGAAGATTGAGATTCTCGCTCCGATGTGTATCATATCATCATATCGATGTCGATAATGAAACGTTTTGTCGATTTTGTCAGACCGGCGCGTAACGATACGGTGCTGGAGCGCACGATGGGTAGGTGAGAAGGTATCGAAATCGACGCGGTCGCGAGCTTAAAGGAAACGAATCGACTTTAATTAGGGCCTCCTGCCGGGCCATGCCCAGCGGAATGACACCGCGCTTCGCGCTGATAATGAATTTAATTAAACGAAATATTTTCATCGCGCGGCTCAGAAGGCGCGCTTGAAAGGAGGCACCTGGCTCAATCAATACTTATTATTTCATTATGAACCTTTCGTCCGTTGCTTGTGCACACTCGTCTTGCGGCGCATAATGCCGGCCGGCGTAATGCAATTCGATGATTTTTTATTTGTCGTGCGCGCCGTGCGAGAGCGGTGGAAGTGAAAAGTCTCGAAGTGGCTGCCGTGGCTATAGAATTCACGCTTGCCTCTCTTCTTCTTCTCATCACACTTCACAGTTTGCGTACAGTCCCCCGAACAGATTGCGATTCATTACGCGCCTTGATTGCAACAAAAGCGAATCAACCAGCAGTTAATACATCATCCCGAATGAATAATTGTCAAATTGTCTGTGCCAGTGTGTGCGGCTACTCTTCGCAACTTGCTTGCAACGCTTGAATATTTCCGAGGTGAGTGGAGTGTATACACGCTCTATGCACGGCCCAAGCCATACACATAAATATTCACATATGCGGATGAGGTAGCGGTATTAAATCACTCACTTCGTATATTTCGTATTGCTGTCCCGTACGCTCGCCGGAGCCCATGTTCAATGTTTCTAGCCGCGCAGTGGTCACAATTACAATGAGCGCAAGTCGCGCTCCGTTATCCTTTTGAGCGACGGTGAGATATGGCTAGATCTCGTGACATCGCTACCGCCGGCCGCCGAGATAACATCGGCGCGAAGACGCGCCGTGTGTGGCGAAATCATTCAGACACCTCTTTTTCCTCGCTTGCAACTAGCCACGAACACGGCGATCACCAGGCTCTCTAGTAAGTAGTCCCCTTCCAAACCGCCTTCAACGGCTGCCTGCACTCATCCAACCTTCTCATGAACATTGGATTGCATTGCCGCTAATCCTAACGATACGAGGTTCGGAGATTTGCACCAAGCTCTCTGGTCTCGCGTCTCCACTCCACTGCATTCACATACAAAGGTTCGAGTTACGAACTCTGCGGGTAATTAACCTACCTACACATGTAGGGGAGTATCTATACTACTCCTGCAAGCAATGCATACACTTCTACGCCTATGAGATGTGAGCTTCCGTTTAATTCACCTCCTGAAAACCGTACGAGGGTCTCATCGTAAATTAATTACCGTAATAATTTAATGTCTCGTTGATAAACGACGTCTCTCGCTAACTAACTAATGAGAAGTTTCGATCCATCCGTTTTGTAATCCCACTTTATACCCGACTCGTTTTCTGTTGTAACATGCATGTTTAAGAACCCCGGCGCTGTTGATTCGGCTTCCGATCGTTTGATTTTTTAGATATGATATGCGTGGTGGTTGGCTCTAAGTTGTTTGCATTTGCTAGCCGAACGGAACAAATCAAACAACGAAATTAAAACGAGATAATCATTAAATGAATTTTACTAGGTAATTTAGCCGTTGTTTACGATGAAGGGCCTTTTCATCGCCGAACGCCGAGATCGTGATCTCCGGATCCAGTTCCAGTTAGCGCGTTGTCGGTAGTTGGTTTGGGATTTGTTGGCACTTGGCACTCGGCGTTGTAACTCCGTAACGAGTAATGCGGAGCAGCGCGCGAACGCACGCAGGAAAGAAGGACGATCTTATCGCGATGTGTGATCGCCGAGTATCGCTTCCAGTCGTCTCCAGGAGGAGGAAGGAGGGCCAGCGCGACGGCGGTGTCTCTGCCGCAGCGCTCGAACGCGTCTTTTCGTCTGACGGCCGAATACCGAAAATATCTTAGCGATCAATGACAATCTAAAAGATTTTATCGTCACCTGGCCGGTGCGCGGACGCGGTTGCATCGCAGCGCCGCATAAAAACAAACAGAAACTCGTTTGCTCTAGCCGAACGCGTACAAAAAATGACGCGGGAGCAGTTCCCATGGATGGCTTAGATATAGATTCCTAACTTCCAGAGAGATTTTTCGGACCAGAACGAAACACATCGTTTAGTTTTAATTTTGATTAATTGAACTTCATCAGCTGCTATTTCTAAGTCGTTTAGTTCGTACCGAAACTTTAGGGGACCACACATCTAAGGTCTCATTGCACGGTTTTAAAGAGGAAACTGGCTTTTAAATCGCGATCTCTATCATGCGTTTTATTGATTTCTAATCAAAATCGTTTAAATTCTAATTAGTCCTTTAGATAATTAGTTTCGGAGTTTGTTTACTCAGCTTCTCAGGAAGGTATTTTTATTTATATAAAAATTTCATTAAACAATTTGTTTTTTTTTTGCAGGTAAGCAACATCACATACCATACACACCGTAGACGTAAGCAGCTTAAGTTGCCTACGTGCCGACTCTAGTCGACCTGGCTTGGTTGAAACGTCGAAGCGAAAGGTGTGCGCCGGATGGACAATCTGAAATCGCGATATGCAAATGATGTTCGTACGGTAAGACACGTTTTAACCGTCAACTAATTACATGATAATTGTTGCTGCTTGTCTAATTGGTGTTTGCCACTTCGCAATATATTTTATCAATGCATAACTTTAATTCAAATTTATTCCAATTGAATTTATTGCTCATTCTGACTTAATTCTGATTAAGCACCGTGCCGCCATAATCTAATCTTTTTCGGATGTGAGTACAATGAACATTCATCCGTTTGCATGCAAATAACGTTGGCAAATTTACTGTTTACGTTCATAAAAAGGCGTAATGTGACTGTATTGCTGATTACATATGGTAATATTGTCATGGGCGCATATTCATGTGCCCTGTATTTAGATAGAAGCCACGCACATCCTGCGATGTAAAAGTGACAATCAAGCGCATAAACTCGCTAATTAATTGGTATATTGTTTAAACTTTAATGGATATCTAGACCCTGTATTAGCTAACACACCTTATGGTAAATTCGCGTTGATGTTTCCCCCTTTGGAGGAAACCTGTTTGTGGTTGTGCCAACTCAGGATGTGCATTACCAAGCAGTATTGCAGTATTGTAATTACAAATGTTGGCAAAAGCGGCAATAATATCCCAAGTTTACGTGACTCCTTCGCCAGTTTAAATGTAAATTGTGTCAAGTTTTTGCACCAGCGCGCCTGTTGCACGTGGGCATTTTCAATATCCTTTGGGCTTATTTATTGTCCACTTTATGACCTACCGGACAACGGACACCCAATAGGCTTGTCTATACAACTCGCACTATCATCTGTATTATGATGGAGAGTTTCAATTTAGTTTTCTCGACTCTGCTGCGTTTGCGGCTATGTACTTACATGGTACTGAAGATAAATATAGTTTTCGAGCGTCCAGTTGATATCGGTTATCACCGCAATCGTCCACCTTGCAGGAGCTGCTGTTAAAAAAATGTTAATTGCCTGCTGCTGCCGGCGCGCTCGCGTTGATTTTCCGATATCTCGAATATCGCTGGTAGACATTGAATTACGCCGCTGCATTGCGTAAATTCTATCGGAACTTTTGTGATCTCGCGCCTCTGCCGATGGATATGCACAACACTTTGATCGCCTGATAGCGGGCAGCGCGAGCTATGGTGGATTGAAGGAATGAATCGAATCGAATTAAAATTCTTCCGCGA